GTTCTTCTTTGTTAGAATTTTGGGGTTCAATATTAGGTTGCTTATCTGAGCTCATTCTGTTTTCCTCATGTGAGTGTTCACCAGTATAAATTTCCCTCATAGGAATGCTTTCCTTGTGTCCCATAAGTTCTCGTATGTTGTATTGGCATTATTATTTAATTATATATACTGTTTAATTTCATCTTTAATTTCCTCTGCCACCCATTGGTTTTCAGAAAGGTGTTGTTTAATTTCCCTGTGTTTATGTAGTTTTTGTGGTTTCTGTGTAATTGACTTTCAGTTTCATTTCACTATGGTCAGATAGTATGCAGTGGATGATTTCAGTTCCTCTACATTTAGGTAAACATGTTTTGTGAGCTAATATGTGGTCTAGTTTGCAGAACATCCCATGTGCACCTGAGAAGGATATTTATTCTGTTGTTTTGGTGGGGGAACAATCTGTAGACAACTACCAGGTCCATTTGATCACAGGCTTGGCTTAATTCTAATATTTCCTTGTTGACTTTTTTGTCCAGTTTATCTGTGTATTAGTGAGAATGGAGGAGTACTGAGGTCTTCCACCACAGTTGTGTTAGCACTTCTTTGTTTTCTCATGTCTGTTAATATTTGTTTTATGTAGTTTGGTGCACCAGTGTTTGGAGCATATATAGTTATGATGGTTATCTTTTCTTCTTGGAGCTTTCCCTTAATGAGTATGTAGTCACCTTCTTTGTCTCTTTTGATCAGTTTTGACTTGAAGTTTACCTTGTCTGCAAATAGAATACCTACTTCTGCTTATTCTGGGTTCCTGTGGCATGCAGAATTGTTTTTCTATCCTTTGACTTTCAGTCTATGAATGTTTTGGAGTTAAATATGCTTCTTGAATGCAGGATTTTGTTGGATCTTGTTTCTTGTTCCATTCTGCCAGTCTGGTTTTGTTTTGTTTTGTTTTGTTTTGTTTTGTTTTGTTTTGTTTGTTTTGTTTTGTTTTTTGATTTGTGAGTTGAGACTGTTTATATTGATGGTTATAACTGATGTTGTATTGGCTTATCTTTCTCATGTTACTTTCTTTCTGTTGGTTCCCTACTTTTCCTATCTGTTTAATTGCTTACCCTTCTTGGCTGTTTCTTTCCATTGTTCCTGTGTTTGCAGTCTTCATTATCTCTTTCTAATATATTCTTTAAAGCATTCTGTAGAGCTCGTTTGGTGGTCATAAATTTCTTCAATTGTTCTTTGTTGTGGAATTATCTTATTTCTCCACCGATTTTGAAAGATAGTTTTGCAGGGTACATCAATCTGGGTTGAAGATTGTTTTCTTCTAGGGTTTGAAATACCTCACTCCAAGCTTTCCTTGATTTGAGGGTTTGTGTTGAGAAGTCTGCTGTGATTCTGATGGATTTTCCTTTGTAGATGATTTGTTTCCTTTCTCTAGCCTCTTTTAATATTCTGTTGTTATGCTGGATTTCTGGAATCTTGATTATTATATGCCTTGCTGTAGATTGTGTCTATCTGAAGAACCACCTTCCCAATGTGTTGAGGATGAGAAGTTGTTACTATTTGGCTCAGCACAGAGTCTTTTGGTCTTGGATTATGGTGATGGTAATGATCCCATGTAATCACAGTGTTGTCATACAGGAGAGAAAAACTGATTATAGCAGGTATGGTATCCTGGCTAAAGTAGTACAGCTGACAATACCAATAGTCTCCAGAGCAGTCTGGCTACTGACAAACTGTAGTAACTATTAGCCTTATACTTTTCACCATAGGAGCAAATTCTACAGTTGTTTAGCAGAGTCCAGTATATACTAGGAACATGTGTGCAATGATTTTTCCCTTTAGGTAAGTGATTTTACCCTGTGTGAGGGGAGATTAAGAGGGACAGGTTGAAAGATAGAGAGATGAGGGAAGTCCTCTATGGCAGGAATTAAGGCTGGGGGCCATAGGATGATCACTCAAGTTTTGGGAAACTGGAGGACAGAAGAGGGAAAGAATGGCAGAGGGAGCAGAGGAGCATTAAAGTGAACTGGGCAGAGAAGAGGTATAAAATCAAGCAAGATAGTTGGTGAAAGAGAATTAGATGACAAGTAGGTGAAAACATAAAGGGAGGTAATAAATCTAAGTCATTAAAGAAGGACAGAAGAAAAAAAACAGAGAGAGAAAAGAGACTTACAACAAAAAGTGGAAATAACCCTAACAAATAAAACAAGACCAAATGAAATTTAAGTTAAAAAAGAACTCAACCAGACAACCAAAAAGGAAAGGTTGTCGTCTTTCTTTTGAAAAGGAAAGGAAAGGAAAGCAAAGGAAAGGAAAAATTATTTTTTCTTTTTCCGGTTGGTTTTGGAAGTATGGCTGTTTTGACAATGTTAGTCTTGTCTATCCATGAACAAGTAGTATCTTTCCATTTACTGACTTCTGTTTCAATTTATTTTTTTCAGGATATGGTAATTTCTATTAAAGAGACCTCTCACTTCTTTGATTAGATTAATTCCTATGTGTTTAATTTTTGGAGACCATTCTGAATTGGATTGTTTTCCTAATTTTAATCTGGATGGGTTCATTGTTGGTGAACAAGGATGCTATTGATTTTTGTATATTTACTTTGTATCCTGACACTTTAATAATTTTTTATTAGTTTTATGGGTCTTTTGGAGGAATTTTTGAGTCTTGTATATAAAGAATTATGTTATCTGTGAATAAGGATACTATGACTTTTTACTTTCATATTAGAATCCCTTTAATTCCTTTCTCTCTCTTGATTATCCTGCCTAAATTTTCAAGTAATATATTGAACGGGAGTGGTGAGAGCAAACACATACTTCTTATTGATTTTAAAGGAAGAGTATTTAGTTTTTCATCATTTAACATAATGTCAGCAATGGATTTCTCATAAATGGCTTTCATCAGATTGAGATAAAGTCTTTCGATACCTATTTTTGTCCAGGTTTTTCTCATGAATGGATGTTGGAATTTGTTAAAGGGTTTTTCTCTGTCTGTTGAGATGATTATATGCTTTTTTTCTTGTTTCTGTTTATATCATGTTACACTTAATGATTTACATATGTTGCACTACTCTTGAAACCTTGGAATGAAGGAAGTTTGCTCATCATGTATGGTTTTAATGATATATCACATATTGTATATTTTTGAGGATGTTGGCATCAATGTTCATTAAGGATATTGGCCTATATTTTTCTTTCTTTTTGTAATATCTTTATCCGCTTTTGTTATCAGGGTATTTATAGCTTCCGGGAATGAGTTTGGCAGTATTCCTTTCCTTTCCATTTCATTGAAGAGTTTGAGGAATACTGATGTTAGATTTTTTTTCTGAAGTTCTGGTACCATTCTCTGGTGAATCCATCAGGTCCTGGGCTTTTAATTGTTGATACTGTTTTTAATTACTGCTTCTACTTTATTGGTCATTAATCTGTTCAGAGTTTTTATATGTTCTTGGTTCAGTTTTGTTAATTCATGTGTCCAGTAATTTTTGCATTTAACTAGGTTCTCCAATTTATTGCAGTATACATTTTTAAAGTGATTCCTTAAAATCCTCTGGATTTTGGCAGTGTTAAACGTGATACTACCTTTTTCAATACTACTTGCACTGATAGGATTTTTTTCTGTTTTTCTTATGTTTGGCTAGAGGTATCAACCTTATTTAACCTTTCAAAAACCCAAGTGTTTGAGTCACTGATTCTTTGTATTGTTTTGCTTTAGTTTCAACTTCATTATCTTTCATTCTGAACTTTATAATTTCTTTGCTTCCCTTAATTTCAGATTTGGACTGCTCTTCCTTTCCTAAGAATTTGAGATGCATCATTAGGTTATTAATTTGCGACTTCTCTACTCTTTTGATATTTGCATTTGCAGCTATACATTTCTTTCTTACAGCTGTTTTTGTTATGCTTATAGGCTTTGGCATTTATGGTTCCACAGTCATTTGATTTGAGGACATTTTTATGTCTTCCCTTTTTTTGTCTTTGATTCATTTATTACCCAGTAATGCTTAGTTTAATATCAAGGTGTTTATGTAATTTCTGCAGTTTCTTTTGTTTTTGTTTTCTAGCTCTATTTCACTATGGTCTGATAGTAGGCAGGAGATTATTTCAGTTCTTTTGTATTTATTTACACATGCTTTATACCCTAAGATATGGTCAATTGCAGGACAAGTTCACGTGCTGTTGAGAAAAAGATGTATTCTTTTTTGGATGAAACACTCTGTAGATATCTGTGAAGTCCATTTGTTCAATGGTGTGGTTTCGCATATTTCTTTGTGATTTTTTTTGTTTGTTTGGTTGATCTACTTGTGAAACTTGGAAATTGAAGTTCTCTGCTATGACTATAGTGTTGTCTATCTGTCCATTCAGTAGTTTTTGTTCTATGAATTTTGGTGTGCCCACATTTGGAACATAACTATTTATAATCACCTTTTCTCATTGAATTGTTCCCTTTTCCTGTATGTAGTGGTGACCTTTGTCCCCTTTGACCAGTTTTAGCTTGAGATCTGCTGTGTCTGAAAAGAAGATAGCTACCCTTCCTTATTTTGGGCCTGTGGTTGGATGGAGTGTTTTATAACATTTTACCATTAGATTGTGAGCTTCCTTTTGAGTACGGTGTGTTTCCTATGTGGAAGATATGTTTGCATTTTTTTGCCCAATCTACTATCTGTCTTTTTTTTGTTTGTTTGTTTGTTTTTGTGTTTTTTCCGGTACCGGGAACTGAACTCATGACCTTGCACTTGCCAGGCAGGTGCTGTGCTGCTGAGCTAAATCCCCAGCCCCTACTATCTGTCTTTTGATGTGGAATTAAGACTATTGACATTGATAGTTGTTATTACAAATTGTTTACTGAATCCTCTCATTGAATAATTTTTCCAGTGCTGATTCCTACTCAAGAATGGCTCAGTCTTAAATACTACTCTCCAATTTCATATTGCTCTTCCATTTCTTGCCAGTTCTTTGGCTGTCCCTTACAGTAAGAAGGTGATGTGAGTGAAGGAATGGTATGAGTTTTATGTATTCACTTCCTCTGTCATTTCTCTACAGTTTACTCCACAGGGCTTATTGTTCTCACAAATCCAGTGAACAAACCCTTATAAAGCTCCACAGCCCAAGGTCTGTGTCTCTCATCTGGATGTTTCACCAGCTGTGGTCCTTGACCTGGCCAGTTCTAAATCACCAGTCTCCTGCTGTAAGTGATTCTGTTCTAATATTCTTAAGTGATGATATACCAAATGGGCTGGGCAAGAGAATAGGAACTGGAACCACCTGGGCAACAAAAAATAGGAACCCAAGGTCCTTGTGATTCATATGACCACAAGAATATACCAATATGACATCTGTTTTAAAACCACTTAGGAGTAGCGTGAGTACTTTTGGAAACTAGAATCTCAATGTTTTTCTCACACTTAATCTGTGTGACACAAAGGATTAACCCTCTCAGTAGCAACTAATCATGGAATTGTGTGTCCAGGAATCTCTCCTCCAAGAAATTAAGGTAAAGAGCAGGGACATATTCAGAGTGAGAAGAATTAGTGGTAAGCAATGAAAGGTAGAATGAAGGAATGAGAGACATGAGCACATGTGCATGTGCACATGCGTGCACACACACACACACACACACACACACACACACACACACACACACAGGGAGGAAGGGAGAGAGGGAGAACAGCGAAGACTGTAGGTGGTATTTGAGATGGAGAAGGCTGGGCTGGAATCCAGGGCTGCTGGTCCCCGGTTCCTCAGCTGTCACAGCATGTAACCAGGGTCAGCATTTTCTGTAAAGGGCTGGAGAGTGAACATCTCTCACTTCAAGGCACAGGCTGGGCAGTGTGTTCATCAGCTATGTGCTGTAGCACAGGCACCAGCCTGGACGCTAAGACCTGAATGAATGCGACAGTCTGTAAGGCGAGTTTTAGCTATGGACGTTGCTGTTGGATTTCCTATCATTTTCAAATGTCACAAAATATTCTTTTCATTTTCTTGAGTCGGTAAAATATTTAAATCCATTCTTGATTCCTTCATACGAGCCAACTTGAAACATAAAATGAGCTGTATTTTGTCCCCGATTCTAACTACCAAGTGTCAGTCACTTTACATTTCAACTGAGAATAATAATGCTCAGCTCCTCACTTTTTAAAAATAATAGATTGCTATGGCATAAACCGTGTCCCACCAATAAACACCCAAAACCTTAGAATCTGACACTCAGAGATAAGACCCTTAAGGAGAAAACCTAGACAACATTATGGTAGACACTAGAGCACTTTGATGGTGTCCTTAATAGAAGAGAAGATTACAATGCAGACACACAGAGCAAGGACCATAACAGGAAATGGAGAGGAGAGAGCCATCTGCAAGCCAGCGTGAGAAGACCAGCACCAATCTATCTTCCAACTTCCAGGACTGTGAGAACATCAGTTTCTATTATTTAGTCCCCTCCTCTATGATGTTGTGCTGTAGCAGCCTAGCCAACTGATCTACTCTCCTCCACTTCAGTGATGACCCTCCAGATGTATCCAACTCTTTGATGCAAGTGTTTTTTTATTTTATTTTTTAGTATATATATATATATGTAGTTTTAATTTATTTTAAAAATAAAAGAAGGAAAACATAATAACAAATAGACATCCATTTACAAAATAGCATAAGAACAATAAAAGCAGTACTGAATTAAAGACAAAGTGGTAGGAAATTAACAATGGTTGTTGTATTACATATGGATATCTTCAAAGTGGTTTCTCAGGAAAACAAATAGAGACATGCAAGATGGATCAAATAATTAATTATTAACTGATCCTTTTAGAAAAGTGATAGAAGTCAGTAGTACAACTATGTTAGCTATCCTGCAT